AAGTATGGAAAACCAATATGAAATAGTAATGAAAGAACTGAATACAAAAACAAAAGAAAATTCAGGTAATACTCTAGAAAGTATTAAATCCAATGTGGTATTACCAAAAATAAATATTCCCTTCTTTGATGGCAACTACGAGAATTGGTGTTCCTTCAATGATATATTTCAAAAGGTTATACATGAAACATAATTATCAAAAACAGAAAAGATGCAATATCTGAAAACCAGTTTAATACAGCACTTTAAAATTACTGAAGAGAACTATGAGATCGCTTGGAAGACACTACAGAATAGATATGAAAACAAGCGCCAGATATTATCCACATTATTAGATAGAATAATAGATTTACCAGTATCCAAGCGAGAATCGCCGAATGATATCAAGCTATTACATGATGTAACCGCTGAAAGCCTTCAAGCCATAAAGAACTTGGGAGTCAAGACGGATTATTGGGGTCCATTACTAACACGTATCATAATGCAAAAGTGGGATTCAGAAACAAACAGAATTTATGAGCAAAGCCTAACCGAACCAAATGAGATACCACATTTTGAAGATGTCATGAAGTTCATCGAAAGACGATTTCAAGCACTAGAAAAATCTAGTACCGTTAAGAAGCCAAATGGGTTCTCCCAGACTGATTTTAAGCCAAAAAGTCAAGACTGCATGTATTGTAATCAGTTTACATAGCATATACCAATGCATACAATTTAAAACATTGTCTATAGCTGATAGAAACCAGTTTATCAGAAAGAATCGACTTTGTTACAACTGTCTGACACATGATTCAAGGGAAAAATGTCATAGTTCACTCCGATACCGCACCTGTGGTATGTCCCATTACAGTATGCTGCATAAAGACAGAAAAGAACAGTCAAGGGTTTCAGAACATGCTAGAGTTGCGAGACCTGTAAACAGTTTACGATCCCAGACCAATACTACCATAGTGGCCAGTCAGCTTCCTCAATATGAACCTGTATCTACGTTGACACACATAGGAACAGAAGATAATACAGTGTTAATACCTACGGCTATGGTAAAGGTACAAACTTCTAATGGAATGTTCCAACTTCTACGAGTGCTGGTTGATCAAGGGTCGCAGTCATCCTTTATCACCGAAGAAGCAGCACAACTCTTAAACTTACCAAGAAAAAGAATACGAGCAGACATCTCTAGATTGGGAGATGGAGAACCAAAAATTTCTAAATGGCAAATTGAAGCTACAATAAAACCACGATTTTCTAGCAACTATACCTTGACTGTACATCTACTTGTACTGCCCAAACTAACGCAAACATTACCAAAAGAATTCTTGCCAAACATGTACCTTAATAAATGGCAAAATAAGCTCATAGCTGATCCAACCTGTAACAAACCTGGTCCAATTGATATACTGTTAGGAGCTGAAGAATATGCCAAAATCATACTTCCAGGCCTCCACAAAACTGAAGATGGTATAATAGCACAAAATACCGGACTAGGATGGATTATGTCAGGTCTTGTCCAAAACACTAAGTCGAACCCCATAAAGGTGATAAGTATGGTTGTCCGTACTGAAAAAAATAAGCAGTTAACAAAATTATGGGAACTGGAAGAAGTTAATCCACCCAAATATGTGAACAAAGATGACCAACTATGTGAACAGTTTAATCAAGACACTACCAAAAAAAACGAAGATGGAACCTACACAGTAAGAATTCCCTTTTCAAACTCGAAATCTACACTAGGCAACTCCAAGACGAGAGCTGTGGCGAGATTGATCCAATTAGAACATAAACTCTCTCGAAACGAAAAGTTAGATACTGATTACAAACAGTTTCTTCGAGAATATGCAGACATGGGACATATGACTCAAGTAAACTTCGATAACCTAAACCGAGGAAAGTACTACATTCCCCACCAAGCAGTTATCAAGGAATCGAGTACAACCACTAAACTGAGAGTAGTATTTGACACATCATCCAAAACTGACTTAAATACCAGCTTAAATGATCAAATGTATGCAGGTCCAAAACTGCAGTAAGAATTATCAGAAATTTTACTACGATGGAGAAAACATGCAGAAGCCTTTACCGCAGATATTGAGAAAATGTACCGACAGATCCAGATACATCCTGACGACAGGGATTACCAACGCATTGTGTGGCGATGCAATAGTTCAAACAAAATTAAAGAATATCAACTTAACACCGTTACATACGGAACCAAAGCAGCACTATATCTAGCCATAAGAACATTACAACAACTAGCCAACGATGAAGAATATCGTTTTCCCGAAGCTTCCAAAATCATCCTAAATGATTTTTATGTTGATGACCTCCTAGCTGGAGCAAGTACCCAACACGAAGCAGTAAAACTTCAGAAAGATTTAATAGCAACCCTTAAATCTGGGGGTTTTACATTAAGAAAATGGTCAAGCAACAGCCCAGAGATCCTTGAGACACTTCCAGAAAATTTCAAAGACAATATAATACAATTGACATGAGATGAAACAAGGAAGTCCCTTGGTGTCTTATTGTCGCCGATAGACGACATATTCCGATTTCAAACAAATGTATCAAACTACCAAAAACTGACGAAGCGAGTTATTTTATCTGAAATAGCTAAATTATTCGACCCATTAGGATTACTGGCACCTGTTATTATCCAAGCAAAATTACGTATACAAGAATTATGGCTTCATCAGTTAGATTGGGACCAACCAGTAACCAAACAAACAACTGATCAATGGCTTGAATTTAAGTCTCACATAAAAGCAGTCGAAGATTTTCGCATACCAAGATGGCTATATTGTGATGAAACCCATACTGAATTACATGGATTCTGTGATGCATCCGAAAAGGTCGTATACACAAGAACATTTTATAATGGGAAAGTATACATATCATTGGTACAGGCCAAATCCAAAGTTGCTCCGGCAAGAACGAAGACAACCTTGCCTCGACTTGAACTGTGTTCCGCTGTTCTGCTAAGTAACTTATTGCATAAATTTAAGCAGACACTCAAATTAAACGATGTCTCCATGTATGCCTGGACAGATTCGATGATTGCATTAGGATGGATACGAGGAGATTCTTTAAGATGGAAGACCTTCGTAGCAAATAGAGCAGTTGAAATACAAAAACTAGTTCCACCTTACCACTGGAGTCATGTAAAATCTAATGAAAATCCTGCTGATTGTATATCCAGAGGAATGGATCCAGTAAAACTATCAAATCACATCTTATGGTGGACAGGTCCTGAATGGTTGCAAGATACGAAGCGATGGCCTAAAACTCCAATAGCTGCTTCTACAAACGAAGAACTAAAGATGTGTTACCATACCAATGTTAAATATAGCGATGGAATGTGGTGCATATTTTCAAGCCTAACACGAATGATTCGAGTCCTATCATATTGTAGAAGATTTTTGAAAGATGTCACCTACAAGGGTCCGTTAAAGTTTGAAAAGACCATAGCACACTTAGGCAAATCATAAAACTAGCACAATCCGAAGAATTAAAAGGAGACTACCAATCCTTGATGAAAACTAAAATTATACATAAACACAGCAACTTATTGACTCTTAATCCGTTCATAGATAATGTAGGAATTATAAGAGTTGGGGGCAGACTGGAACATTCTCCACTATCGTATACTAGAAAACACCCCATAATCATTCCATACCATAGTCACCTCGCCATTCTCATCATTAGAGATGCTCACCAACGAACATTGCATGGAGGAAACCAAGCAACATTAGCCTATCTGAGGCAACGGTATTGGATTGTTAATTGCAAGACAGCCATCAAGTCTATCATTCATAAATGCACCACATGTTCACGATATAAGGCACAGGCTGCACACCAATAGATGGGGGAGCTACCTTATCCCAGAGTATCACCAAACCCACCATTTACTTACACCGGAGTAGACTACGCGGGTCCCATTCAGGTGAGAGCCACTAAAGGAAGAGGACACAAATCCTATAAGGGGTACATCGTAGTTTTCGTATGTCTATCTACTAAGGCAATCCATCTTGAAGTAGTCAGTGATATGTCTACTGACACATTTCTTGCAGCGTTTAAAAGATTTATAGCCAGGCGAGGTCCCTACTCCCACATGTATAGTGATAATGGTACAACGTTTGTCGGAGCCAATAACCATTTACAAAAGGAAATTAACAATATGGTCAAACAATCAGAAATACAAATCATGATGACGACCACAGGGATTCAGTGGCACTTTATACCTCCAGCATCTCCGCACTTTGGAGGCTTATGGGAAGCAGGAATTAAGTCCATGAAAAACCATCTAAAAAGAACAGTTGGAGAAGCTAAGTTAACCTACGAAGAACTAACTACGCTGACCCATCAAATAGAGGCTTCACTTAATTCAAGGCCGTTATGTCCCCTGAATGAAAATATAAATGACACGATTACGCTAACTCCAGGTCATTTTTTGATTGGTAGGGAATTAATTGCACCACCGAATCGAATTGACACCAGCATCAACACTAATCTATCACAAAGATGGCGACTTGTTCAGAAGATTAAGACAGATTTCTGGAAAGCCTGGTCCATGGAGTACCTCTCAAGATTTCAGCAACGATATAAATGGAAAACTCAGAAAGATAATTTAAAAGTTAGAGATATCGTCATAATCAAAGAGGACAACATTAATCCAAGTCAATGGCCATTAGCACGAGTAATCCAAACTCATCCCGCACCTGATGGAACAAACAGTACGTGTAGTAACTCTTAGAAGAGCAACAGGTACAACATTGAAACGAAATACTCACAATTTAGTACCGCTGCCCCTCGAGAATGAGAGAGTTCCTGAGATACCAGTTCCCAACAAAGTTGCTACAAGTACAAATGTTAACCTAACCAGGTGTGTTACAAACCTTACCACTAGGTCTATCGATGGTTTCCCTCAAACAAGTCCAAGTACATCTATCTTCATGAAAGCACACCAGTATCGGAGTACTTATTTATTCCACTTATGCCTATGTCTGATGGTAGTTTTATCCGTTATATCAAAAGTCGATTCTAAGTATGTAATTCATCATCCCCATCCTGGAATATACGTGGAACATATTGGCCATGCGAGGCTTGATAGAGGAATATTTAGAATCCAGGTAAACTTCGAAACTGCTAGGCTGAAACAAGACTTTAAAAACGTGCCAGTAGTGGTACAAGAATTCAATGATCTCTGTAATAAAACCAAGGCACTCTCCGATGAAACTCAATGTACGAGTCTTAGCCGTCATCTCATAGACCAAGAAGATCAGCTCAGTTGGTATAGAAGCAGTTTGCCAAGGAACAACGGGAATCGCAATAAAAGAGGAATCTTGGGTAAATTCCTAACTAGCGTATTTGGAGTCAAGAAAATCAACAAGATCTCATAAAGGCATCAAGTCATCAAACTAAATTTATGATTTCGACTATCTCGAAAATCAATGAAACTGAAAAAAGAATCAACAATCAACTAGAACACTTCAGAGTTAGACTTAATCAAGGGCTAGTTGCAGTTAATGAGATGCAAAGATGGTACAAATCAGTAGATATAAATAAACTCAATCTCCATCTACTGAGCACCTACCAGGTGGCCTGAAATTTCTTAGCGGAGTTAAATGAATTTTACTCCAAACTCCTAGACGTTCATTTTAATAGAGGCAGCCTATACGATTTGATATATCCAGCTTATATTAGCCACATCATTGTCGCAGCAGATGATAAACTTCCATCAAATCTATAAATATTATCAACACCGATTTTAAAAATGAAGATGGAAATTAATGAGACTCACATTCAAATCTTTGCATTCTTTCCAATCGTAGATATTACAGAATTCGCTCTATTGCAAGCAACACCAACTCCTCTCAAAATAGATAAGGGATTCTAGTGGATATTGGATATTCTAAGTGAGATCATAGGAGTGGACTACAATACACAGCTTTACTTCCAATTAACAAGTGAAGAATTTAAAAAATTGTATCTACTTGGAGGCAAATCAATATATTTGTTCACCCGCTGTTGTGAAGAACATCGAAACAAATTCAAATTGTGTAATAGACGAAATTTATGAAATACCAGACACCACTCAGTGCAAGATCAAAAAACATAGAGCTGCCCAAATAACATGGAAACAGCTTCACATGCCCAATACTTGGTTCTTTTTTACCAGTAAACCAGTCAACGTGGCTGTCATATGTCAAGGGATACGAGAAGACGTAAAACTCAATTCGACTGGAATTATTCAGATATCACAGAACTGCATTATAAAAACGGAAGAAAATATTTTATCCCCAAAAAGATCCGGCTCGAAGGACCAATGAATAATTTGTATTAAAAAATAAGGGCTATTTTTTAATAATTATTATATTAATTTTAAGGATGTTGGATAGAAGAAACGTGGGGTTAAAAATCATTTATTTTTAAAAAAATTAACATTTTATAAACTATTATTATTAAACAAATGTCAACAATATTAAAAATAAGATAACAAAATTATTCAATTAATTAAACAACGAACTAGATATTTTCGCTGAGTTGCAATATTCAGGTTCGCTGACCAGAAATCGTTCTAATTTCAACTGTTTAATTTATGGTGAAATAAATTAAACTTTGATGTACAAGATGTTATTTTATTATGTTCTGATTGAACACCTTTAATTACCTTCTATTTTTAATGAAACATTTTATTTTACATAATAAAATACAATCACAAAAAAAATAAATTATATCAATTTATTCTCACAATTTCTTATATTAAATATTTTAAATAAAAATCAATGAACTTTGGTTCAGCACACAACCAAAAATTGTCATCTCTCTCAATTTTCTCAACGAACTTTCCTAGTGGGGTCCAAACTATAAAATAACAATATTTGGCTTTTGTTATAGCCAATTCTCATTGTACCTGTATTGGCTAGATATTTAATTTTTTTCTTGAATTTTCATTTATGGTGTCAATTTGGAACAATAATATGGACATTTAATTTTAATTATTTCATTATTATTCATAATGCCGTCTGGACTTGCTCCCAATAGTATTGATGTGTATCATAAATAAATAATCCACATTCTTGTACCGTTTTTCCATATTTATTTTTAAATTCTTCTATCGTAATAGATTCATAATCGTGTTCCCATTTTGAAGCGACTGATCCGTAAAAAGGTGAAACTAATATGTTATTAACAGTCTGTTTTGGGTCTGTTGTTTTGCGTAATTTGTAAATGGTTCCAAAATTTGAAGCCGTGAGCCTATTACTACGATGTTCTTTCTACAGATCATTATTGGCCTGACCTCTAGTAGATACTTCAATTTTACAAATATCATCTATTAAACTATCCAAAAATTGCAGTTTTTTTGTTCCAAAACGTCGTCATCGTCATCATCATCATCATTGCATTGAAGTCTGTAGTCCCTATATGTAGTCCCTATCTGTAGATGCCCACTTTTGCGTTTTTTTAATTAAGGGCCCTTTTCTTTTCTACTACATCTACCTTTGCTCATTTGAGTAACCAATCTTTATGTGTGAATCCCAAGAACACTTTTTGACAGCTTTTTATAAATAGTGGGAAAATAGTTCTCTTTTTTATTAAAATAAATGGCTGCAGCTGTACACCGAACATTATATCCTCATTTTACTGCAAAATTAATTCTCTTTCCTCCAACAAATTTAACTACGATTGAGTATATGTCTCTGGAGCATTATTAGATTATTAGTCATCTTTAATAATAAACTGTGACTGTTTTGAACCAGCCTATTACCAGCAGATACAATATCATCTGTTAGTCCGCATTCTTCCATTTCTGTCACATAATCTCTGTCGTTTTGTTCTCTTTTACAAAAATATTGTGCACAGTTTGAATGATTTCCAAATGTGTGATAAGGAGAGTTTTTAATATCTGCAGTTAATTGCTTCACGTTGTCAAATATATCACTGGTATTTTTTCTGTGGTAATATACAGCCGATTTAATTTCCACTCGCAACTTCAAAATCCTATCACTTTTTTTTTTTTTGGTCGTGGTCTTAATGTTTTGTTTTTTGAACTGTATTTTTTTGCAAGATCACGAAAATTTCTGAAATAATTCCTGAGAAGATGGTTTATGCATTCTACTTTCCGGACCATTGTTCTTCCGTAGGGTCTCTCTAAGCAAATTTTTTGGTAAACACATGTCTCCATCGCGAATAATTTAGCATATTTAAATTTGTGCATTTTTATACTATTACGGAATCCTTCTAAAATTAGTTCCGATTCCATAGAAGTCGACGAACCATCCCAATTTTTTGAACATTTATGATTTGCAGCTTTTAAACACAGGAAAATACATACGTTTAGAAGAAACATACAAAATTTTTCCAGTTTTCGCCCCAATAATGAAAGCCTGTATAAAATAAGTGCATTTAAAAATAAACCCTTTATATGATAGTTCAAATATAAAAATATTTCTAAAGTAGACCATGTAAAGATCACGCATAACAGATTATTCACAATTCCGTCGGTCAAGGCTTGTTTAGAAACATTTTTTTTTTGGATCACACGTTATAATATAAAAATATAATAAATTTACTTTATGTGACCGCTTAGACCATGTACCGTCAACAATTACTGCAATTAGACCATTCCCTTGTTCATTTGTTTCTCCAATATCTTTTGTTAATTGCAATTCTTCCAGACCTGCTTGTTCCATTGCCTCCCAAGCTGCTTTAAAAATACTTTTACTTACCAACTCATTATGTGCTGAGTATTATCGAAAAGACATTTATGGTATATTCATTATGGCATACTGCTCGACCATTTGTGTATGTCCACATCCAGTTGATAGAGTAGTCAATACTGCAGCTGAGTTTAAATTCATTTCAGTAGTCATTTTTGGATTTTCAGTGTTCAAATCTGTACTGAGAATACACATTTTGCATTGAAGTCTAAAGCAGCTTATTGGACTAATTCTGCCACAATCGAATGACTTATGTTTATTTAGAGAAATAATTGATTGAATAAAATAGGGAATGTCTACAATTCTTCTGTCGATATTATTTGCATCAAAAAATGCCGATGGTTTGTTTTCTTTTTGAATCTCAACATATATCTGAGCTGCTTCTACTTGTCCAGGTTCATAAATAAGCAACCTAAAATATATACCAATTCAGTAAAAGATCGAAAAGAGTTATGATACACTAACTGGTTATTATTTTGTCGAACAGGCATTTTTGTCCAAACATATTTTAATTTATTGCATGGAAGATTCATGTATATAAAATATTATTATAATGATAAACAAGATTAATTATTACAAGAACAAACAATTATTTAATTGACAGCAATATTTCAAACTACTGGTTACGTTATTATTGTTTTGGCCTTTACTACATGAAAATCCATTACTAGGAGAAAAACCGAAATTTGGTAGATTTTCACATAAATTGATTATTATCGACATTATATGTTTCGAATTACGAATTATTCTTCAGGTGTGACTAATTTCCTCTATTTACAAAAAATAACAAGGGCTATAGTAATTTAATAGATAATGAGTTTAAATTGTAATATTACCTTTTACCATTAGGTACTTAACTCACAGGATACTAAGAATCAAATCAATAATCCACCTTTACCTACCTAATCTTAGTATTAGTATTTATTCGATAATCCCGGTAATTATAAAACCTTTATTATTACACTAATTTGTAACCAATTATCAGTTAAATATTTTAATCCGTATTGTTTATAAACACCCTTAATTAAAATGATGATTAACATTAATTAAATTATTCATATGCATTTTTCTTTTTCAAAACTAATTAGTATATTATTATATGGACTGGAATATATTTTAACCATAGATTCAGGACCACAAAATAATATTATCTTGCTAAATAACAGTATATAACACCTTCTAGTGAGATACAGGGTGTTAAAAATAAACGAGAATTTTCTATAATGAAAGTAGTAGCGAAATACGTAATGCTTTTGAAACGAGTGTTTGATATAATTTAAATTTAAAAGAATTCACAGGTTTAAAAATGCTCTAAATGTACTGTCAAATTTTATATTATCTTCAACGTAGGTAAACATATAAACAAATAAAACTGCAGTAGAATACTTTGAAAAATGGAACGTTACCAGTCCTACCAACTATATAGCTTCAGAAATTCTTATTACCAATATTTGGAACAAAATAAAGAAATGTTGTTGGCCTGGATAAAATCTTATATAAGTATTACTAATGAGAAAGTGAATTTCCTATCAAAAAAGGCTACTGTTTCGGGAACACCAAAATTAGATTTTATTGCTAAATCTAAATTATCAAAGTTTAAAACTTGGTAAAATGCATATTCAAAAGAAAAAAAAAAAAAAAAGAAAAGAAATACAAAAACATTCAACCTAATATTCCAA